GACATGTCTATTCCTTTTCCCCTCTGTCCCTACCCTGATCCCCCACCCCCACCCCTTGGGCCTTTCTTTCCAGGCCAAGTCGTGTATCTGTCACATGTGTGGCGCTCACCTGAACCGACTCCACTCTTGTCTCTACTGCGTCTTTTTTGGCTGTTTTACGAAGAAACACATCCACGAGCACGCAAAAAACAAGAGACACAATCTAGGTAAGCCACAAACTCAATCACTCCCTCTTAATTATGCCAGAAATTATTCAAGAATTGGTTTATTGTTTGGAGTATGGAAACAAAACTGTATCATGAATCTAAATACTAACAAAAAAAAAAAATCTTATCGAGCCCTTCATGTCAGTCTTTACATGCACCCTGTGACCCACTGCAGCATCAGCTATCATCAGTGAAGGATTACAGCATTACTTTGGGCAGCTTCCTCCTCTGAGCAGACTAGGAGCTGAACCTCTTTCTCACTGCAGCATATTATTACCATTCTGGAGTTAAGACAGTTAAATGTCATGGGTTTAAGTTACTACACTCTCCTTCATACAGCAGCAAGGAAGGGGTGTGCATGGATAATCCCCAGCTACCAGAAAGCCTAGTTTTAACCTCACATGCTAATTATCCTAAACAAGGCAGTGGTACTAATGAGAACGATGTTGATATTACCCTGACGAGAACAACTATATATGGAAAGAGGGTGGCTTGTAGTTGTTTGATTGTCTTTAATTAATTTAAAGCTGTGTCTTCTCCACCTCCAATCAAATTAATCCAAACTCTCCAGTCTGCTGCTCTGCTAAATAGCAAACTTCCTCCTTAAGGTGCCTTTCACGTCTTGTTCACCTTCTTTTCCTAACATCACTCTTCAGGACTACTTTTATATCTCCTTCCTGTCCTTTTTCTTTTTTAGCTAGATCATTCTCTGGACCCCCTTTACATCATTTTCTCCTGTTTGTTCATATCCATATCCTCTCTTTGTTTTTCACTAAAGTGAGCAGGCTTTCTGATTTATGTCGTGTCTTTGTCTTGTGCAGTACTCGTCGTCTATCCTCTTCCTCTTGCTGCCACTTGTGTTGCACTCATTTTTCATTCTTAACTGGGTTATTGTTGTCCACAGAGCAGTATCCTGCTCAGTGTAACCAAATGTGACCATGCTTTATCAGAGAAAAGGGTGACATCAAAAGATCTTGTTTTTTCCAAACTAATTTGTGGTTTTCTTCTGCGTTATGCATTTCTGTGTTCTTGTACCCCATGCACACAAACACACAAAAAACATGGCACTGTGACGGCAACGTAACATACACCAGTCAGGTTTTCTACATGATGTGTTAGCTCATTTTGTCAGTGTGGGTAGTACTGAAAACATAAAAATGTCTGATTTAGCTAAAAATAGGTTGTCACGGCAACAGAGATGAGGTATTGTTGCTGTGGAGTTTGAGAATGGAAGAGAGTGATGTGTTAGTTGAAAGCACAGGTTGGTGGAGGAAGAAAAATACACCTGTTCTATCACTGCTCCACACATATCTGCTATAATTGTTCAGTGCAGCAATGAGATGGAAATATTGTGGTGAGTGAAAAATGCAGGATGAAGAAGGCACTTGTCTTGAGGCTGGCTGCACCTATGAGGTTGGACAGTAAAAACCCAATATGTATTACTGTGCTGGAAAAAAATCTGTTTGTAATTACAGTGCAATCTCACATTCTCCCCCCCTTTCTCTCCTGCTTCTAGCGATAGACCTATTATACGGTGGAATATATTGTTTTGTATGTCAAGACTACATATACGACAAAGACATGGAGCAAATTGCCAAAGAGGAACAGAGGAAAGCCTGGAAATTGCAAGGTATAGCATTTTGTCTTCTGTCAGAGAACGTGATGCAGCTTTTGAAACAAGGCCATCTGATATCTCACTTCTGTCTTATTTGTTTTTCTTTGTGTCCTCAGGCATAGGGGAGAAATACACAACATGGGAGCCGACAAAGAGGGAGCTAGAATTATTACGACACAATCCAAAGCGGAGGAAAATCACTACGAACTGTACCATAGGTGGGCAATAGACTGCACTGTTCAGTCTGCTCATCTTAATCAGCACAGCTTTTCATGCCTAGACAGCTGTGCATGTGTGTATGTACATGTGCCTGTGTCACATGTGCACTTGGGATCACTCATGGATTTAAGTGTGATACCTAAGGTCAACAGGACCAGACTGCGCTAAAGGGACTAAACACCACATTCTCACTCTGATAGATGCAACCTGTGTTTTTGTTTCCTCTTTTCCTATATATTTTCTGAGTTTTGTTTGGAATTCTCCATTTTGCCCTTGAATTTGTACATTTATTATCATTATTATTATTGTTGTTATCAATTTTACCCTTCCTTTGGGCCATTCTCTGCTGCCGGTCTCTACCCCTTTATATGCAAACAGCTTGGTTGGTAGTGATGATTGGCCAGCAGACCGTGTGTGTTTTTGTGTGAACGCACCAGGACCAGTTTGAAGTGTTTAAGCTCTCAGTGGGCACTCTCGTCCAGAACCACATTTTGCTCAGTTGGATTGGACCCAAGACCTTGCTGTGTCTCACCTGTTGTACTGGCCATCAGCGGAGCACTGTAGCTTTGCGTTCTCAGTGTCTGAATGAATCCATTCACAGCTTTAGAGTCTGCTCCAGGATACACACAGCTTTTCTGGCAGATCTGACCTAATACCACATTGTTAATTTGATGCACACACACACACCAACACAAAAAAAAAAACAGAATCTGAAAGTGCCAGTGGCTCTTAGTGCTTACCTAGGTGTGGTTTCATAGGGGCCTGCAGCTAACTTAAAAATAGAAAGTGATAAACATGTCCATCACAATGAAAGCCTAAGGTCATGTTTGTTTTGTCTGACCAGTAGTCATATACCCAAGAGATATACAGTTCCTTCACATAAGACAAAAAAGCAACAGCTCATCACAATGGGGGTATGTAACTCGGTAAGATTTGGCATTTTTGCTTCATAAATAACTTTAGTTATGATTATTGATTCTCAGTGTAGTGATTTTCCACCCATCTGTATTGATTGTATATGTGGTTCTTTTGGCATCTGCTTCAAAAGTTCACTGC